ACAGACAGTGTTCATTTACTCCATTCACATTCCCTTATTATTTATTAACATCTTAACTTCTTTAGTCAGCATATTCTCTCCCTGTGGGCAAATTTGTGTAATTGACAACATTATGATCAGAAGATTGATAAAACAGGTGGGGACATCAGGGAAGCTGGCTTATTCTCTTGGTGGCTGTTGTCATCTGCTCCTTAGGAATGCAGATGCCCTTTTACAAAAGCACAAGACTGAGCCTGAGAGGTGTGAGAGCTGGTGCATAGTAGGTACTCTGTGCACACTGTGAGGAGTCTGGGCTTACCAGAAGCACTGTGGTTTGTGTCTGCTACGGGTGCAGGAGGTGGTGAGGGCTTATTTTTTAGGCATTTGCCACCTCATCTCACAATGTATTATAGAGCTGGCCTAAGAGGTTTTTTAATTGATTCTTTAGATATACAACATCAGGATGTGTATATTTTGACATAATCACAAAGGCATGGGATATAATTTGCTTTGAGTTCAGCCCTCAGCGCTTCTCCCTCCCTGCAACAGAAGTACCATGAGGGACAAGGGGAGAGAGGAAGGGGTTAGCATTTACCTGTAACTGTGCACCTGTGACAGCTTTTCCTTTACCTGTTTTCATTCTGAACCCATGTAAGGAAACTGCGTTCAGATACATTCAAAAATTGGCTCTCCAGATTGATAGGTCAACTGTGCAGGGACTGGTTGATCAAGGAAATGTGACATATTGAATTTGTTCTTGTTTTGTTTCATTTTACCATTGTTCTTTTCTCTTTGAATGTTGGAAAATGCTTTCCTGGAGCAGACTGACTTCTCCTTGCTCTTAAAAAGAAAAATTGCTAGGATTCCTTTTACTCTTCCATCTTATGTTTTGGATCAGAATATACAATGAAATTTTTATCATACATAAAATAGTAAGAGTTCCCCCTACCCCAGTACTGGGGACTGAGCCCAGGGTCCCCTGCACATGCTAGGCAAGCACTGTGTCACTGAGCTACATCACCAGGTCTGGAAAGAGCTTTTTGATGTGACAGTTTTTTCTCATTAATGCATCCATGTGATAGAGTTTTATTAAGTGATACCTATTTTTTAAATTATACACCATTTTCTCAGATGATCATACTGTGAAAAATAATTTAAATGACTCTACAGAGGTGAAAAATCTTTAAATGGTGGAGGTTGGGCTAGATTTCAGATTAATGGTATAGAAATGTTAAAGCCTGTGATTGGTTCCCTAGTTATCTTGGGTAGTGTTATAATTATACCTTTAAATAAAAGACATTGCTTTTCTTTTTAAATCCTTTTTAAATCCTCCTTATATGACTGATCTGTTACTGAATTATTCATGTGCCTTTGGGAGATTCTAAAGTTCTCCATTAATCAGGATTTTAAGAACATTATGATAATACTTAAATATGATACTAATATTAATAGGGTTTCCTCAGGAATTCTTTCATGATTTTGGTTTCTGTTTTAAGCATTTATAACTTTAAGGCTCATATAAAATTAAGAGTGAGTCTAATACTGAATATGTGAAAAATAATGAATTATTTTAAAATTATATCTTAGAAAATCATATATATATACACAAAATAATTTTCTTTTTAGTTGATGGACTTTTGTTTTATTCATTCACTTATTTATTTATTTGCAGTGCTGAGAATTGAACCCAATGCCTCACACATGCTTGGCAAGTGCTCTCCATCTGAGCCACAACCCCAGCCCTCTTGGAGAAAATCTTATATTTAATCTTCTTGTGTTTGAAAA